GCTCATTATACCTATTGTGAACCGGAGAATGTTTTTAAAAGTTTAATTGATAAAACCTATCCTATAGAAAGTGCTGTCTTACAACGATGAAAGTTTCTGATTAATGTACCCTATGTGAGTATTTTTTATTTTTGGACCAAACAATTTTATTTAAAGTTGTGTCAATGTGATTGCATAAATTGTGAATTTGTTATTTAACTTGCTATTGCCCGCGGCTCTTCTCACGTAGTCACGTAATTTATTCATGTGATGATGGTAAATACTAAGCCAGCATAAACACTACTTAATAAATATGTAGGTTATAAATAATAAAAAAAACCTGGCTGGTATTTTTATAGATTTGCGTATTCAAACAAAAAAACAATCCTTTAGCTTTATAATATTAGTAGTTATAGACTAGCTATAGAGTAATTATAGACTACTACTGGAGGCTTCCTGGCCTGTAATTTATGAGGAACTCAAGCTAGATAAAGTTTACGGACTCAAATATTTCATTGGCTAAGGAGGTCTGAGTACCTATATCTTATTAAATGATCAATTCTTGTATACATTTGAATTTATTTTGTGTATCTCGGAAACGGCTCTTAATGATTTTGATCAAATTTTGTACTTAGATAAGTTTTTGCTACTTAAGTTTATCTACATAGGTGTCATTCCTGATAAAACCATTTATTTTATCTTTTCAAACAAAATCCACAGATCTCGTGTCTGCCACGACCTTAGAGTTCATTGAAAATGAATCTGCCAAATGAACTGAATTAAAATTTTTACATATTAATTATTAGCAGAACAATCGGATTTACCAGCGTTCAGACTACAAAAAAGTATTCGGATGCATAAAGATATTACCTAAACATATAATAAAACTGTAGAGGACGAATGTCTGTACATAGAAAAAATATGCTAAAAACCGATTCAGGAAGATGTAAGAAGAGAAATAGAATAAATCCAGATGTTTTTCAACTTTTTTGTTTCTCTGTCTGTTTGTCTGTGTTACCTTATATCCCCGGTCAACATTTTAGATACTTTTCATCCCGGAAAATTGAAGAGTTCCCGTGGGATAGTTCAAAATCTATAGTAACTTATACAGCTTTGTACACAAAAACTACGGATTAGATTTTAATGAAACTGTATTAGTTTATACATCAGAATAACAAATAGACTACTTTTTATCCTGGAAAAATGTATGGTTCCCGTGGGATAGATTTGTTTATCTTTGTCTAGAAACTCGAGCGAAGCGAGGGTGAGCCGCTAGTAACTAATATAATTTGATGGATGAAAGAGAAGAGACATTAAAAATAAAAGAAACACAGAAGACAGGCAAACAAGAAATTCGAAGAAGACACGCCTGTTAAACTAACGACAGTTAATTAAACTAAGAGTTAAACTAACTGACAGTTCAGCTAACCGACAGTTAAACTAACTGACAGTTAAACTAATTGACAGTTAAAGAAACTGACAGTTAAACTTACTGATAGTTAAATTAACTGACAGCTAAACTAACTAGCCGTTAATCAAACTTACAGGTGGGCAAATTCACAGTTAAAGAAATAGTTACACAAACAAACACATAAATATATAATATAAATGCGTGTTTGTTTTTTAAGAGAAAAAGGGGAGGGAGGAGAGGAGCGGAGAGGGGATGTCAGGAGAGGAGAGGAGAAGACAGGCGAAGAAGTTTTGCGAAAAAGCACTGCAAAAGACAGGCCAAATCTCAACAATAGTCTCCTCCCTTCTTGCTTCTGTCCGCTCCGCTCCTCTCCTCTCCCTTTTCTTTTATTTTCCCGCAGTAACAGATATCTTAAATATCCTAACCCGGGTGATAAGTTATCAGTACACAAAATTCAGTTAAAATCGGTTCAGTACTTTTTTCGTGAAACGCGCAAACCCAAACAGACAAACAGACGTACAGTAAATAGACATACAGACAAAAATTTTCATAATCATTGTTTTGGGGTAGGACAGAACATCTTACAGTCATTGTTTTGAAAAAATATTTCACGTATAAATTTCGCTTAGTTACTGTTTTATTATATGTATAAGTATTAGTTGGTTATTTGTTTAAATACATAGTACCTGGGTTACCGAGCTTAGCTCGGAGTTTTTGGCCTAAAGTACAATTTTCTTTAAAAAAAAAACTAAAAACTTGAATAAACATAAAAAAAACAAATGTAAAAACTTTGTATGCGCCTGTGATTGTTGATCATACGCCTTGGCCGCTTGACCACGATGCTTATGCCCGAGCGTGCCAATTACCGACCATATGTATTATGCGTGGAATAATGCAAAAAAAAACTGCACGAAAACGCACTCTCCTCGCGTAAACTCAGCATCACAAAGGTACAACTTCTGAATAACCCATCAGTGATATGCACCTCCAATATTTTTTTAAATGTAGTCCGAAGTCATATCTCTAGGGATGTTTTTTATTTTTTTGATATCTTATTTCATTTCGAGATATGAATTTTTTTTGACCGAAACCGAGCGAAAAGCGACCACTGTTTTCATATTTTTTGGATTTTAAATAAAAGCCTTTGAGTGTTTTAAAAATTTTTTTGCATTTTGTAGCCCTGATTCTTTTAATATCCCAATGAACCACGTAGTCCCAAAATCCACGACACCAGGGCGATGTTGCACTTTCGCTGAAAATCGGGCATATACTGAAGCGACAAAAAAAGATTTTCAATGTTAAAACGCTGATATTTATTTATAAACTGACAAACAAAATTCTACTGCGTAGATGACTGCTAAATGCTAATATATTCCAAAGAACCCCTTGTGACGCCGTTACTAATTGTTATATACAAACAACAAACATTATTACTTTTTAACCTAAGTATGAAAAGATCAACTCACTATATATCTACTTCATATTTTAATTTAATGGATTTTTATCAATAGGTTTCGAATTGTATTATGCTAGCAAAGTATTACCGAATAAAATATATTCTTATAGCCATAAAGGATACTTATTTAAAATAAAAAAATAAGATGAATTTACTAGTTTGAAGTATTTTGACATTAACAAGCGGCTAAGAATCATGGCGCTATATGCATTATAAAGATTCGGAATCAGATCGATCTTTCATTCTTTTTACTTATAAATTATTATATATATTTTAGCTAACATGTACGGTTGCATATTCAGAGGTTCTAGGTTCGAGATTCGTGTCAAGCGAAGTGTAATAACAAATATTAAGTTTCTCTGTTGAAATTCTAAATAGCAGCCCGGAGTTGGGAAGTTGTTACACAGGAGTCTCTGAGAACATGTAAAACCGTCGGTCCTACGTTTGATCTCTCACCAGCAGTGCCGAAGTATAATCGCATTGTAATTTGAAGGCGAAAGGAATAGATTGCACTAATGCAAGCACACTTGTGCACTATACATATCCTGCGCACATTACTAGTCTCAGTGACATTGATCGCCGTGCTGTGCTGCCGTGCGGTCTGAAGTTGGTCAGGAGGTTGCCGTGGGCGAAATATCATAGGTCGTTGTTATAAAATTTGTTTCATAAAATAAAACAATGTAGGAACAATGTGGCATACGAGTACGTTGCGATCTCGTACGTCAACTGCAATGCACGTCTTTCATGATGTACTTTAGTTAGGTATAATTTAAGGAAACGTACCATTAAAACACAAACGTTGAATTTATTTATTTTATTAGTTATACAATATTTATTTTTGATGTAAACATTTGCCCTTATTTATAAGACAATATATTGATGCAAGTATTTTCTAAATTTGTGCAGAGAATATGAACATTTTTAAGATTTCCAAGAGTTAATAATTTAACTTTAATTTTTAGACAAACGGCATTTCCCTATTTTAAACCATTATAAGCAAATACCATGCACAGTAAATATCCTCGATTCTTTATTTTGTGCTATTTAAATTAAAGTCTAATATTATTTAAATAAAATTAAGTATAATAATAACTAATTACTACAGTAAATTTATTGACTATTGTGTCTTTCCTAGGCGTTAAGAGGGGGTAAAGCAAAATTTTCGATTTTGCCATTAACAGTTTTGATACATCCCCTCTTGAGTATTTTAATAAAACATAAGAACATATAAAAATATATTCAGTAGTTATTACATAGGAATTGTACAAAATAAATAGGTTTTTTATATAAATTTAAAAAATATATAGTATACAAATATGTATTTATATTAACTCTACAAAATATACTTAATTAGGACAAATTCAAATTAAGACAAACCTAAATTACACTGTCTGTCACGATTATTATTGAATTCAGTATCCATAATCTCAACGAACATTATACATATTTGATTATATTAAAACAAACCGTTAATATGTATTTACGTACATTTTTATATTTATAGTTTTAGTAGGTAACTTTCATGTTCCATGTAAAAAGTTTTTGGGTCTAATTACTTAGAGCAGACATTTATTTCCATAAAGAACAGAAAAAGAAATATAGTAGATTTTATTCAATAATGGTGTATTACAAACTCTCGAATTGCTTTAAACTTTTTTAACATCAGTTCACAATATCTAACATTAGGAAATCATACACCATAGTAACTGCAGCTATGATTAAGTTTCTGTGATAATGTTTTTAAGAAATTGTGGAAGATTAGATTATAATTTTTTATTCTTAAAGAAAATATAAGGTGCTCTATTTTTTTACTAATGCAAACATATTTTTAATCTGTATTTCTAAATGAAAATCGGAACAAAACAGGAATGCACGTTCATTTACATATATGATGTAAGATGAATTTTATTACCATAACTGAGAAACTAGTAAATTATCACTAATTTAGTTTGAAACATTTAAAAATTTATCGATAGGCAAGGATAACGACTAGCTGGTTGCTTGTGGGAACAATTTCATTTTATGATTTTGAACTTCGGTTAAATTTACTATAATAAATATTTTTTAACACTTATCTATACTACTATTTGATTTTTATTGAAAATAAATAAATAAATACAACAAGAACTAAATGCAAAAGTTAAAAACTACTTAGTCTTTAGGTAGAGCGCTGTCACTTTTGCCCCGGGAGTAGACTCGATAGGCTGTCTTAGAGCCGAGCATCCTGTCTAGAAGACTATGTTTCGCCCGTCTCCGATGAGACAGCACTTCCCGGCAGAGATCGTGGAACACCTCCCCGACTTGGTTCACTTGCTCCGCAGCGGCAACTTCTGCAAAACTGCATTCGAAGTCCTTTGCCAGTATTTCTCCTTCCTCTAGACTTACCTTTAAATAATAATAATTTACTATTACATTCATTTTGATGAGATTTATTTAAACGTAAAATAAAGATATGCGAAAATCCGTGTAATTTATTATTTTATTGTTCAAGTAAATAAACATTTTTTTTCCCTTTTAATACAATGACCATGAGGAGTTATAAATATGTACATAAAGATTTCTGCATCTGAAAGATTTTGTCAAGACAAAAATAAAAATAATATAGTTTTTTTTAATTTCATGTTCTTGCAAAGTTTCTCCCATTTCCTATGAAATGGTACAATAACACAGTTTAAGTTTAACATAAAAATATTATCAATAATTGTAAGCTTTTACTATATGTATATGTATTATGTACAAATAAATCTTTAATTAAATTTGCTTAATCCATATTAATATTATAAATGGAAATTTTGTGAGTATGGATGTTTGTTACTCTTTTACGCCAGAACGGCTGAACGGATCTGAATGAAATTTGCCACAGAGATAGATTGTAGTCTGGAATAACACATAGGCTACTTATTATCCCGGAAAAATGTACGGTTCCCGTGGGATAGGTTTGTTTTCGTTTTCTAAGAGGCCAACCCGACCAGATTTTTTTGACATTGACCAGAAAATACCTGTCTTAGATGCACCATGTCTGCTTTATTGCCAACGAGAGTCAATGGTACATCAGGCTGCAGACTTTGTTTGGCTCGTCTCACATAATTAAAAGAATTCCTGTCAGTTATGGAGTACACTAGGAAAAGACCATCCGCCCATTGCGCTACATCGCTAGCCGGAAGCTCATCCAAGGTCTGTAATGAAAATTTATAAAAAAAACAATTGTATTCATAATTTAGTAGTACTAGTTATACTACTTGCTATATCTAATATCTAATAAAATTGTAACTAAGCCGAATCTGTACATTAAATATTTTTTGGAAAATCTTATTGAAATAAACATTATTATTGATACAGAGGCCGAATCTATAGTTTTTTGAATTTTTGTCTTTCTATCTGTTACCGCATAACGGAAAAATCACTAGAGGGATTTTGATGAAATTTGGTATGGTGATAGCTAGTTATCCGGGTCGACTTATAGGATACTTTTTACAGCGAGAAAATATCTCATTTCTGATAAAAAATACAAAAACTGCAATGTAATCGTATACTAATACCTATGTAAAACCTAAGAATTTGGTTTTTGGTCATCTGAACGCGGGCAAAGCCGCGGGCAATACTATATACTTTACTGCAGTCCACATTACATAGACCAAGGTCCAAGCCCTTAAATTCCATTATCATTTCATAATGTACTGAACCATCCTTCCTATTTTTAAAAGTTATATGTAGGTAAATCGCCAAGGTCTCTTTTTCACGAAGGTATTCTAATTTCAGTATTTTTAACTTCAGTACAATAAAAAATATAATTAACTACTATTATTACCTTGGGGCATGTGTCCAGTATCTCGAAAAGAATTGGTTCCCCGTCTAGTAATGCCTCGTGCTTGTATTTGCTTTCTAAAAATAAATTTGAAAAACTTATTTTAATAATTTAATCTATACTTGAAAACTTATAACTTTAAATTAGAGTCTTTATAAATTCACTGCTATTATTGTGATCTGATAATAATTTGCATTTAGTGGTGCAAGATCAGTTATTTTTTACATTTTTAAAGACACATGACAAAAATATATGACACTGCATATTTTCAAATGCTAAAAAAACATTTTTATTTAAGTTTGTTATTTACAGATTTTTACCCTGAAATAGGGGAGAAGAAGAAGAAAGAAGAGAAGAAGTTTTATTAAATGCATTATGCCAGATATGCAACTAATTTAAAATTATTTAAATAAGTCTAAGATCAAGTATGGGGCTAATAAATTTCGAATAGCGGGTATTAAAGCACAATTTACGTCATGTGGCTAAAACTGAAGGGATATTTATAAGAAATTGTAAACTTACCCTGTTGGTGATCATATTCTCCGATGTATCGTTTTGTTAGAAATCGAACAGTCAGTGCTGTAAATGAAAAAATAATATAGCTGTTATTTTATATTACATGTAAATTATAGTAAATACTCATTCAAATTAATACAGAGGATTCACAATTAATAACTAGCAAAAGCTACTTATATAAATAGGAAAGTATATTTACTCATTTAATGATAAAACAAAATCAATATATGTACATCTATACTAGTAATATGCGAAAGTAGCTCTGTCGGTCTATTACGTTTGACGCTTAATCCCCTAAACCGATTTAGATGAAATTGTTAATTTTTATGTTGGGGTTAGTATATAGGTATATTAATTTGTTTATATTATATATTTTCTAGAATTTGATAAATGTTTGAAAACCTGTTAGTGAACGTAAATATTCGCATAGACTCTATGTAATACATGTGCAATCTGTAAACGCAAGATCGGTGAATGTAAATAAATAAATGTCGGCAGCAAAGTATAACCGATGATAAATGCGACTTTTATTCTACGGAAATAACTTTCATAATTTATGATTCGAGTACCACGGCTGATGGCTGGCCAACGGTACCTACACTTCACTAGGCGGCTACCGGCGAACATACTGACGAAACCGATCCGGATGTGTATATAATCTGGGAGCAGAGACTGCCCTTATGAACGCTAACGTTGAAGCATATGTTGAAGTTTCTACTTTCAAACGCCCCTGTCTGAATGTTAAAATAATTTCATCTAATGTAAACTCAACAGATATGAAATGTAAATAAAATCTGAATTCTGTTTGAATAATAGTAGTGGTATTCTTTAGCACTCGAACGTGAGCTATATAAAGCTCTAAATAAATTTCAACATTTTGATTTCCAGAAAAAAATATACGTTCATATTTGTATAAGATATAACATGCAAATCTTAATTAGTCACGTTCGCGAAAAGAAACGATATATTCAATCGGTATCAGTATTAATATTGGGTTTTGTTTGTTGGTTTAGCACACAATAAATATATCTAAAGCGACTAACGGCTGCTTTCGAAATTACGAGAGCATTAAAAGAGTAACACGCGTTTCATGTTTATTAAAAATAAAGTTTATGTTATATCATGACGGTTACGCTTCGTTGACCTAGGAATGTATCTAATAGTTTGGGAAGGAGGTGGAGCCCACGATACTCTGTAACTTTTTATTAGCGATAGCACATTGAGTAATGTTATCTAAAATATCTATCACAATAAATATTGATTATAAAAATAAAAAACCCGACTGCATAAAAGCTAACTACAAAGATGAAAACAAGTTGACGAAGGAATATAGTATTATGCAGTCGGAGACATACACGTTTCATCCTTGCCGCGAGATGTACATACTCGTATGTATGTCTCCGACTGCATAATACTATATTCCTTCGTCAACTTGTTTTCATCTTTTTAGTTAGCTTTTATACAGTCGGGTGTTTTTTTCTTGTATAATATACTTATTTATTTATTTACAGCCTTTTAAATATTTTTAAGTAGGAAAATTAGCGAGAATGGTTGTTATACATTATATATCCTAAAATGTTATTTAAAATGTAAAATGATGAAAGAAACTTAAAAATGATTTTTAAATACCTATTCAACGATACCCCAGTTGAACCGTTCGTCGATTTTCATTTTTTTTTCTTTTTCAAATTATGGAATCTACAGCCCCAATGTATTTAATTTTTTTTGTCACCTGTCTAAGAACACTTGGACTAATGAGACGAATCTAACAATACCTTAATCAAAGAAATCCAACGAGTAGTTGGAAGATATGAGGGAATAAAGAATATTACAAACAAAGAAACATACAAAGATAGGCGCGAAAAACATAACCCTTTCCTTGCAGTCGGGTAAAAACTGTAAAACACTTTAACATTTCAATAAAATCAAGAAGTGAAACATTTAAAAGTTATTAGATGTTAGGCTAAAATAATAAGCAACGTGTATAGTTCGCTAAGGGAATTGGTACATATAACAGAACCAGATGTGATCAGAGTACTCATAAATATTGTTTACAAGTCTTGTGACTTTACTAACAGAAAATTGTATAAGTTGATGTAATGCGTCATTATAAAAAAAAAATTAGGATACCTAAATATGTATAATGTATATGTATATATATATGTATATATATATATATATATGTATATATATACATATGTATATATATATCAAAGGCAGTGGTAGCCCAGTGGTAACGCGCTCGCTTGGGAAACCGAGTGATGCGGGTTCAAATCCCGGGTCTCGGACTTCTGATATTTTCATGTGGGAATCATTTCTAGCATGATTACCACTTGCCTTACGGTGAAGGAATACATCGTGAGGAAACCAACATGTCTGAGGGAACTTAGCAAGTTTTCGAAAGATATGTGAAGTCCGCCAACCCGCACTTGGCCAGCGTGGTGGACTATGGCCTGATTCCCCTCGTATTGAAGGGAGGCCCGTGCCCAGCAGTGGGACGTTAAAAAGGGGGTGAATACAAGATATATATCACACTACATATTACATTTTCCATTAAAAGTTCGTTGTACGAGTACCTATATAAAATAAGCAGATTAAATATAGAAGATCCATAAATTTTGTAATGCAGGAATTAGACTGAAATATAAATATAAAAATTAAACACGTGGGCTGTAGTAACTGTAGGAAGTATATCGTCACATAGAACGTAATAATCTATAGACTATAACCCTATAAATAACTATGATACTCCATCTGCCCTTGTTTTTATATATATACCTACTGATATTATTAAGATCAACGTTAACACTAATAATAAGAATCAAAATATGATATATTTAATTCAATTCAAAATCCATTATAAGACTTTCTTAGATTACGCGAACATTTGACATTTAAAAATAAAACTTTCTTTTCGGATTTTTTTGATGTATGATTTATTTTGATTTTTGGTGCCCGACGCGACGTTTGGACGCTTTACAACAAACATGGTCACAGGAGAGACTAAGATCTAAACCTTAGTCTAAACGTCTCAAGGTCAATAAATAGTTGTCACAGATAGCCTACCCACGAAATGCCAAAATGAATTCAAAAAATACAAAAATGGCACCAAAGTACCTTACAATATTTGTTAATTTTAATTTTAAACTTCTTTATAATTTTAATATGTTTTATAATTGAATATGGAATATTATTATTTTATTATTTATTTTAACTGTTATTATTAAAATAACTAAATTTTTTTGAAATTAATTTAATAATTTTTATTATTTAGTATACTAATTTAAACCTTAGTCTCTGCCCGTGACCGTGATTGCTGTAAAACATTCGAAAATTAGGGAACTAAAAATCAAATTAAATCCGCGAAAAAATCCGAAAAGATAGTTTTATTTAAAACTAGCGACTCACTCACAATTTATTTATTTATTATTTACCCCGCTTCGCTTGGGTTCGACCCTAGCTTAATTCCCCATACAAACTTTCATCCCCATTTTCACCCCCTTAAGGGATGATTTCCCGGACAAAAAGTATCTATGTCCTTCCCAGGATTTCAAACTATCTTCTTACCCAATTTAATCTAAATTTGTTCAGTAGATCCAGGAATTACCCCCTATTATACATATACTCCCTATATTACAACGTCACAAACTCACAATCTCACAAACTTTACCTCTTTATAATATTATATTCTCTTTATAAATTTATATTATAGAAGTAAGTAATCATTTTTTTTAATGGAATCCCTTGCGTAGTTAAAGTACCTTACCTAATATTGTGGTATATTTGGCACGCCATGTGCTGCAGTATACAGTAGGTAGGTGACAGAATACAGAACACTGCGCTTCGTATTTCTTGCTTGGCATAACAAGTATACAAAAAATGAAGTTTAATCCCTAATGCATCCTTATGCAGTCAGTGTCAGTCTTTAGACACAATACACGAATTGTATTTTTATATGTTGCTTTTTTGGTAAAAATATAATATAATAAATGTGAAATATTTTCATATTAGTTATACTCAATTACGAAGTTCCTTGCTGCCTTGGTTTGATTTATAAACATTACTTTGGAATGAAATTAACCAGCTCACGTAAACAAACGTCAGCAAAAATTGTTATGTTTGGTGGAAATTTGATTTCAGTTTAAGGGAAACAGTGTTGTTTAAGTCCAGTTTAATAACAGGCTGTGATGATTCAGAAATCATAAGACATTATTCATGCAACGCCGGTAACGCCCTAACAAAAATGTTCAATTTCTAAAAGCCCCTAATCAGTCAGTTCTGCATAGATGTAGCTCTACAATTCATTTTAAAGTAACTACTGATCCACAAATATACTTTTAAGTCAAGTCAACCATTTTTTTTTCTTTATTGACTTATAGTTGCGTTAACAGACGCAATTCATTCTGCCAGTGTGGGTCAACCATTTTAAGATTAAAAGTCAAAAATTTTAAGTATAGTTAACAAAAATTTTGCGATGATATTCGCAAAACAATTCTTGAGTACCTAAGCAGCGATTAAAGAAACATATTAATCTAAGTTCTAACCACAAGTGATTTAGCACAATTGTTTATTAAAAGCGCGGTTATAATACGTAATCATAAATGTGCCAATTTTGTATTAACAACATTTTAAATTATTCTTAGTATACCAAGGTCACGTCTAACAAAATAATAAAAAAAAACTATATTATGTTGCTTCAGACGTTGTAACATATTTATGTGCAAAATCTGATATTTACTTTCCAAAAGTAGGTAAAGTTTATAAAAGTCCAATCACCTTGGCGAGCTTCTTCATAGTTATATCGTGAAACATGTATATCAATGTCATTAACACAGACGCTATCCCGTAGCCAGCTAGACAGTTTGACGACGGGTACAATTAATATTTTTTCCCGTAATAACTCTGAAATCATATGTCAATACTACCAGTAGACAAAATTGGTAGGTACCTAAGCTTTCCATTCAAAACCAAAAAGTTTAGTTATAATTGTCAAAATTACATTTGTTTACAATATTTTAAAATATAAACATAAATTTAAAACGTAACTACTTAATTAATAAAAT